CGCAAACTCGCCTCCTTCGGTTTCTCCCTCTCAGGTTATCCCTTTTACTGTTCTTCCTCTTTTCATATCAAAATTTCTATGATTTCCTTTATAATATGATTGCCTTTCATTTTATGGAATCATCCAACATTATTGATTGTTATAGTTGCTTTAAGAGATTAGGTTTGATTATCAATGGCTGAGAGGTAAAAATCCCTTGTTTCTGTGTTGATTTTCATAGTCCACTCGCTATTTTGCATTCATTCTTTTTCTCACTATTTTACATTCATTCTTGTTCTCACTATTTTGCATTCATTCTTGTTCGTCCTTCTGCGCTGCCTGACGGGACATGGGTGACCAGACCGCAACTTCTTTCCAAGAAAAAGGAAGACTTTCACCTGTCCAGGAGCCTTGATCTCTCGTGCTTCTGATTTTACATTGGCCTCTCGACGCCGCTAGAGTCCAATCCATAGGTTGCTCCGGCCCTGGCTGTTCCGCATTCATGAAAAGTTTGGTTATTTTGTTTTTGGTTGCTTGTGTAGTTTTTGTGAGTTCTTATTATGTAGGATATCTGATTCTTGGTTCCCGTCGCTATTGCAATATGTGCATTTCTAGTTTCTATGGAGACGGTAAGGAATTTGTTTGGGAGATGGAGTGTTGGAGAAGCGACCAAGGCAGCCGAGAATCTGAGCCTGAATGTTTTCCAGCATTGTGAGTATTTGTTTTTTTTTTTTTAATTATTTATGATGTTGACGGCTTTCTAAATGGCACTCGATACATGAAGAGGAGTGCACAAGCAATTATTTTGTGTTTGTCCTTTGGGTGATTGATTGAAAGCACTAAACCTCTGCACAAATTTGGCTATATCATGCTATATTTGGGCTTGTAAAATTGATTTTCAATGGATGCTATTGACATATGGGTCTTGTATGATGAATTCACATAGTGTCTTCTTCGAAATGCACAACTGATTCTTTAATTAAGAAACCTTTTTGAATCTGATAATCATTAGGGTTGTGTTGTTGATTATATTTGTTCCAAATGTCAATTAATGGATCATCATCATTAACAGATAAATCTTTGAGAGCTTCAAACCCCAACAATTGATGAGTTATAAGGTATAAGAATTAGATTGCCACGCTAACTTAGAGCACTGGTTGTGTGGTTAAGGTTTGTACTTTATAGTTGTAGAGGAAGACGATCTTTTAAGGAAAGAGGACCTACATGCATGCATGTTGGAAGACGATCATCAATATTCATTGAATGCTTAATTAAGGGAACTTGTGGAACCAATGGAAGATGGGGTGGCCGACGCTATGGGGATTATCTTGGAGTAGTCTTGGCGGTTCGGAGGTGGGGAAGGGCTCGCCGATTGGGCATGGGAGTGGTGGTGGGATTCTCGGTTGGGGTGAGGGAGGGGATTAGTAAACCGGCGGTTTCAGGGGGGAATGAGGAAAGGGCCGACTTTAACTGATTGAAAGTTATTTTTTTTTTTACTTATTTGATTCATATTTTTAGGTACTTTTCTTTAAATACTTCTATTTCATTTAATGAGAAGGTTTTCCAAACCTTTTTCAATAAAAAAAATTACTTGAGTAATTTTCAGCTACTAAGTGTAACAAAAAGTATGAGGTAAATTACACTCAGGTCCCAGAGGTATAGACCCCATGTTTCAAACTTTCGATTCAGTCCATCTTTACAAAAACTACTTCATTTAGTTCTCTAAAGGTATGATCTGTCAACATGTATGTCCTTGTAGTAACAAAGCAATAACGACTCCATCATGGTAAGAAATTACGTGCTGAAGGATAATAACTTGAGAGACCTCAAAAAAGTAATAGATCATTTTGTTGTTGAACATTAAAAAAGTTATTACATGCAGCGTCACGGGACTGCATTAATGAAGTATTTTTTGTTGACTAATAGGAGGCACAACCGTACATGGGTAATTTAAGCACCCAAAAGCATAATAAAATATAAGAAAAAAAAGTTGTGGGTATTAATCTATCCAGATGAAGGAAGTCTATTATTAATATACAAAACAAACCATAAAGCTATGGATGCTTGCTTTTATGATAGATGACAAATTTAGCTTAAATTTATGGACACATGCATGTATGTTTGATGGCGAATTTAGCTTTAAAATGTGAAAATTTTAATGGAATTGAATCAATTTTTTTCCCACAAACCAAAATAAATAGGTCAATTTCGCATGAAACGAGATCACAATGATAGCTAGCCTTAAAGGTTTGATCAAGTAAATTTGAGTTGATCCACCTTAACTCCAGATTGGATCAGTTGCACAAACTTCTATCTCAAAAAACCTCTCACAAATATTCCACAAATCTCATGTACCTCATGTAACCCTCATCTACTTAACTATTCCTTCCCTCTTCTTGCATTTTCATAATCATATTTTGTGCTTAATTTTCTACATTTCCCAAGTAATCATCACAACCTTGAAACATTAAGAAGTGAATCTATGAATTTCATACAAGCAGATCAAGTTGAATACAACGGTAGAAATGTGGGATAGAATGACTAATGCAGTAGAAGAGTTGAATCTGATAGGAATACTTGATTCCAAGTATTTCCCTAAATCAGCTTTAGTCAAAGATCCTACAGCAAACTGCTTGTCCACAGCAGGAAATCACAAACAGTGGGAAAAACACGAGAAAAGATAGAAAACACAAAGGTAAAAGAACTTTATTTTACTAGGAAATGAAGGAATAGCAAAAAGATACAAGGATCCTCTATTCGAGAGGAGGATCGCACTCTCGCCAAATCTCTAAGAAATTCAATCTATAGCCCTAGCCACCAAAGAAGACAAGAACTTCACCAAAAAATCTCATACCCTAATCCCCCTTTTCTCCCTACTTAATGCATACAATTCAAATCTAATACAAAATGACATAATTAACCCCTTGTTTCCCCCCTTTTGGGCTCCAAGAAACAATTCAAATTTCAAGTGGAACCCCACCCTTTTCTCTTTCTGCTTGTTTCCGCCGGCTCCTCGGAGTAAACGAGATGGGCCGGCCCAAGAGGTTGGGCGGCTGGACCGGTTCTCCACGGGCCGGTCTAAACAAAATCTTAAATAAATAATTTTAATATCATGAAGAAGATTGAAACAGAGTGTATAAATTAAAATGAAAAGATTAAAGTTTCAACATGACTTTAATTAGAAAACGTTGAGAAGCTTCTAATAGTGTTTCTCTTTTACTAGTAACGCCAATTAGAAAATCCAGCTCATAAATATACATTCACTTCCCGGTATAAAACAGCTATGGATGATACAGCAGAAAGAAATTATCTAATGAATACCTATTATGGGTACACTATCAGTCTATCATCAATAACATCAATGGATTCTCCTCAGACTCCTGAACATATTAGATTAATAATCATGATGAGCTCATTTATGATGGATGGTTTCCAACTAGACCTGAACAACAAATTGTTATCCTACAGGATTCAATCTATTTTTGGAAAAATAAAACTTAATATAAAATTAAAATCTGAGAGTTCAAAAAGCTCACAGTAGTATAAATTTCTGCCATTGTTAACTCCTCTTCATGGTCTGGGCCTTTAGATAGCTTTATAATTGTTACCTAAATTTTCCAAAAATGTATCTATGATTATGGTTTGCATTATGTTCAAGTATAACATCAACCTCCCCCAAATCCTAACAAGAAGAAAGTTCCATGCATTGGATTGGTTCTTATTTTGTAGAATAAAATTTTGATTTTTAATAAGAGATTATACACGATTCATAAACGTTTAACAAATGCAATGGCAAGCTTACTTGAAATGTGTTCAGGAATTTTCAATGTAAGGCTATGATTTTTAGCTCCAGCAATCCTTCTGCCTCCTCCACTTTCTATAGAGCCAATTTATCTTTTATCACATCTATAGCAATTTTAGTTTATGCAATATGGTTGTGCATAATTTTCCACTTAATATTTGTAATGGTCAAAATTTTAATGGTGGTGCATAAATTTTTGTTAGGAAAAGGGGCAAGTTAAGGACTATTTTTTATTTTTCTTCATGTTTTCCGTTATTGTTAAACAATTGTTCATTTTGCAATATATACCTATTCCTATGTTTGAAAGTGAATTTTCCGTATAATGTTCATATGAAGTGTAGGTCATTTGGATTTTATATGTTTTCTTTTATTCAATGCTTTGTCAGCTAGGCTTTCCAAATCCTGTGACCTCCTGTAACAAAAATTGGATAGGAATAAATTTATAAGCTTGATATTGTCAATAAATATTGTGAGATTTTTCTTTATCATACTATTTTAATATTTTCTTTTAGTTTTGAGGTTTGTTGTATTAATTTATTTATACCGGTGACTTAGTTGAAATGTTTTTGGTTTATATCAGATTGCTTTATGTGTTTATGTGCCCTAAACATGTGTATCTTTTGAGGGGACTAGCACGAGCAATGGGGAGCACTGAAGAAAATCCTGTCGAAGGTATTTCTAGCTTTAAATAATTGAACTTAATTTTGAATGTTTGAAAGGTCTCGTTTGTGAAATTGCATTCTTCACATTGACTAAATTGAACAATTTTTTTTTTTTTTTTTGATTTTTTGTTTTGTAATTATTCTCCTCAAAGCTGAAGAAATTTTCGTTGTCAGTTGCCTAGATCAATCCTTGCTTACAAGTGAACCTCCTAAGCTATGGCACCGATAAACCATACCATTACTAAAAGTAATATACATAATTGTCTTTAAGCTATCCATACTCATTGCAGGGCATTTGATAGTAAAGAAATTT